CAACGGGCAGATTTCTAACAATCCCATTTTTCTTCTCCGATACATGCAGCAAACCTTGGCCGTCTGGAGCTGTTGCTGTGAAGAGAGATTTTCTGAGAAACATCCCGGAACATCGGTCTCTGTCTTTTGGTCCAGGCACCAGAGTCGCCATTACATCCATCCAATGACCCATTGGGTTGTTTGCTTGATCTAGAATCACCGCTTGAAGGTAAATAACATTCCGGAGATTAGAACGCGTTCCTGGCACAGTCTCGAGCGACGTGCCCTTTCTGCTGACATCTGAGGCAGGTAATCTCCCGAAACATGCGAGTGGCGACGTGACGGCTCAATATCAAGTCCTCAAACAGGCTTACTAAATGTCTGTCTTTACCCCGTGAGTATCGACCTTGGACAAGGGACCAAGAAGTATAGATACCGAGCATCCATTTGGCGCGTGTAAGAGAGACAACCAAACGATGGGGTTCTGCAAGGAAGGCTGGTCGAGTGGTGCGAACGAGGGAGAGTGAAACGATATCGAACTCAGCGCCTTGTGCACTATCGACTGTCTTCGCTGTAACGGTTGATAGGTGCTCGTTGCCGTCGACTACCGTGACGCCCCGCAGGTTGTAACATTCTGTCTTGAAGCGCGTGATCTGGGCTTTGTAGAAGCTTAGGATGCCGACAGTCATACCTTGAAGAACTGGGTGGGCACGGATTCGGCATAGGTCATTCATGATGTGTTGGATCTCGTGCTCATTGTACGATGAAGTGCCGCCGTTCTCCCTTTGAGAGCGTGCACCCGAAAGATCCACGGCATAGCGATTAGTCGGACGGGGAACACCGAGTTGCTCGCGGACGAAGGAGCGGATTATGTCTAGAATGGTCTCCTTGGCAGGTAAGAGCGGCGCACGTTTCACTTGGTTGTGGTAGAACCGCTTGGAGACCCATCCGGGAATTTCACCCATGCATCGGTGTTGGATTTTAAGCATCATATGCTCTTGTCCTGCAGCAATGAGTCTCTCGAATAACGAAAGCAGGACCTGGTTTTGGAATGGATTAAGAAACTCGGGTTGCCGATTAGCTGACAATACTGTAGGTCGCAGTTGTTTATGATCTCCGGATAGGATGAAGGCGAACGGAGTGTACCGACCGAAGGGGATGAGGGTTTTCAGCTCTGTGACGCGTGCGGCCTCGTCAAGGTACACTACCGTTGGATGGAAATTCTCCGCTAGAGTAACCTTTGCTGCAGCAGCTACTGTGCACACGATGACATCTGCTTCTTGGAGGGTCCTGGCCATCAGGTCATCAAGTTGGAGCTTGATGTTCGTACGTGTGGCGACGTCCGTATCGTAGAAGCCATTGTCGCCGTGATCTCGAAGTAGACAGCGGAGCCCGACAAGGGGACCGGTTTCTGCGTTGTCGAGTTTGTTAAACATGGCTTGCGCTACTGACATCTCGACAAGAACGCGGCGTGGGTCACCGCGCGCGCGAGTGGCTTTGTAGTCCATGTCTAATTTGTTAAGAAGTCCCAGCGTAGCAAACTCTGCAACAAACTCATCGCTTACTTGGAAGCGTTTTTGGGGCTTGCCTTGAGGGTCAAAGTAGCGGTACACCTCCCTCTTTTCCGCTTTGAGGGTATGAGCGCGAAGGATGACTTTGGCTTCCATACCTAATGCATTGGCCCGGGTTCGCATGCGAAGAGCGATATCATCCACGGCTGCGTTTGAGTCGACCAAAAGAAGGGCCGTATTCTTGACCTCTGGGTTTGAGATGATTTCAAGAGCGTGGGCAATGTTTAGCGTTGTTTTGCCGGTTCCAAATGGTCCATGGATAAGCGTAATTTCTGGGGTGCGGCCAAGTGAGTTGTAAGCGGCTTTTTGCGCGGTATTAAAGGAAGTAGTAAGGTCTAAGGTGGAGGTGCCTTTCAGCTCTAAGAGATTGACGTACTCCAAGGGGGAGTTGTCAGGGTTATGGCAGAGTAGCGCAGCACGGATGCGTGTCTTTTGGGCGGTAGTGCCACGCCAAAGATCGTCAGCACAGTTGACTTGATCAACAAATCCTTGACGGGAGTATGTCATCTTGATCGCTACTCGAACTGTTGGAGCTGCTTGCAGTCGTTCTGCAAGGTCCTCTTCCGACGTAGCAATGCGGAAGTTGACTGTTGGCAGTGTAAAGCTAACAAAGGGGCGTTCATATCGATGGTCTTCATAGTAAGGGTCGCGGCAGCGTTCTAGCATGAGAGTAAGACATCCTGGAGGGGTGACCGCTGTGGGATCGATGACTGTGGCAGCCCATTCGTTAGGCTTCGCAGTATTGATGTCCTCCCGCTCTAACTCGAACACGCCGTGCTCATCCTCATTGCCCAGCTCATCCGCCGCCCCTTCACCGTTATTCTGGTCGCTGCTTTCTTCGTCACTGCTGCTATCCTCGTCGGTGCTGGTATCCTTGTCATTCGCTCCTGCGTAGTCGAGTAAGGTGACGCGCATAGGAGTGCCAACTTCAGGCCGAATGAGCTCCTTGTCTGAGAAATCTACGAAGGCGAAGTATGCGCGTGCGCTAGATTCATATGTGTCCGAAGTTGGGGTACCGTCATCAGGGTTGCTTGCAATTGGACTCTCCATAAGCCGCATTTCAAAGCGGTCAGCTTCGAGCTGCTGGATGATCTTTTGTTGGTATTCTTCCTCAATATAATTACCATAGATATGAGGTATAAGGTGATCCATTTTGTCGAGGAATACCGTTTGGGCTTGCTGGAGGTCAATATTTGGGCGATGGTAATCGTCTACCAAATTACCCATTTGGAAGGCTTCTGCATTAGGAGAATTGCGGATCCAGTCCTTGGCAGGATCATGAGTCTGCTCTGTGAGAGAAGCTTCTTGAAATGCTACTGCCATAGCTTGTACCAAGGGGTCGTTGGCGCGGACAAGAAATTGGAAATTATAGAGGCCCGATTCATTGCGGACTGCCTGGATAAGTCGGGCAACCTGGTCATCAAGTTCCTCCGTAATAAGAGGCGGGACTCTACCACCAGCAACTTGCGTTGATGTAGATTGGACAGTCATCATGGCAATGGGATAAGGGGTACCATCGCGATCTAAGAACTGGGGTGTCTCCGTGTTGAAACCCGGCACCTTCCCACCTATGGCGACTTCCACGTATTCGAAAACTGTAACGCGACAAGCGTGAATGATGATATGCATACAGTGCGACCCGAAACGTGCAGGATTGATTGCCTTGTCCATGTTACGAGGGAGATTGAGTCTTAGCGCCATGGAGGCACGCTGGTTATCTGGAAGACGAAAGGCTACTGAAGTCCAAGGTTCTGTCTTCGAGTAGTGGAGTCCTGAAGCAAAGGTATCGCCGTTAAAGGAAAAGAGAACGCGCCACTGTCTGACACTAGCAGCAGACAAGGGACCATAAGCATGTGCATTTAGCGGGTCCTCCGGTCCGCGCTGATCGTCCTCGAGATCAATGTTGTCATGGCCTTGGATGGAGATCTCACGAACGCGAGGTGTGTAATCTTCAGTGTATATTCCCGCGAGAACTTGGGGCACGGGATGTTGCTGAGGAGTGACAGTAATGTGGGCGACTGGCTCGTGCTGGGTAGTCTGTAGAGCGAGTGGGACTTGATCGATCTGGCTTTGGGATTGCGTATCTGGATCCATGGGTTGCACTTCAGCATCCAACACGGTGATAGTGTTCTTGTCCTTGATGGGACCAAGGTCTTTTTCCGCGTTCATCTTTAGAAATAGATGTGATGAGCGTGGTGTTGTTGGTGTTGTTGGGTACAATATTGCGTGGAGAAGGAAGAAGGTTGTAAAGTACTAGCGTGTAAACAAAGTGCAAGTGAATCATGGACAACGTAAACAGCGAATTCACAACTTCTCCATGTACTTCTGGAATGCCTACAATTTCTGGATGCGTCAAGGAGGCAGTCCTAAATGTGCTTGATTGATGCTCACCAGAGAAAATAACTAGATATTCGCATGGTAATGTGTGTGGGAAATGCCACAGCTGAGCTCTGGTATCTGTAGGCTGAATATCAGAAGGATTCCACAAGTTCCACAAGGCATCAAGAGCAGCCGAGTCGGAATAGGGGTAATTCCTCCCGACTAAGCGATGGTAAACAAATAAGCCACTCAACACTATAGAAAAAGAATAGACTCATTTATGAACAAACCAACCATTTTCTTTCGAACCCTGTCTTCCGACAATTCATCTTCTCCCTTCTTACGCAAACACCATTCAACAATGGCCGCGATGACAGGCTTACCAATACAAGATTATGGACGCTACGCAGTCAGCCATTCCCTTCGTCACCTACATATCGACCGACCACAACTCTTTGAGAAGCTCGTCAAGCATATCGTCAACAGTCTTGAAGATGAATATTGCTTCCCCCCGGATTATTTCCCATCCAGCCAAAGTCAAGAAAATGCCCATCAGAGGGAAGAACGAAACACCATGATTCAAGAATGGCTAGGCGAACTTGACCAACAACTCGGCGAAGACTGGCCAGATAGGGAGACAGCAAAGTATAATACGCTGAATGCCTTGTTTTATGCGATATGGAACTTCCACTCGACCCGTCCGACGTCTACCTAAGACGTGATAGTTACATGAGAAATATGGGTATTGAACTTGATGATTGGAGAATAAGGAACGAATATGGAGTGCTTCAAAGATGTTGAGTGTTGCCTAGGGATTAGGTGGCAGCTGTGTACGCAACACTGCGCCGCACTATAATGTAGTTAAGGCAGCTCCTCCCACTCTAATTTCAAGAATCAAGTCGTCAACTCCATCCATCCATATACTGTATTGCAACAAAAGAGATGTATTTCGGGGGGTTGGCCACTTCGCTAAATGACTAATCACGCCGTTCCATTCGGTGATTCGGTGATTCGCTAAGCTCGTTCTCTGCACCAAAGTGTCCTCTACCTATATGACACAAAATAAGCGATTATCGTTTAAAAGTCAACGCCAGCTGGTTAATTGGTTGACCCAGTGGTGATAGATTTTCTGGTGGCGTGGTGTAACGGTAGCACGTTAGATTGTGGAAATTTTCTATTATACATACTCTCTTGAGATTTGGGTTCGATTCCCAGCGCCGCCAAATTTTTTTTTTTCCCTCTGAAAATGTAGATGGTTAGATCCTATCTTTGGTTGACATATTTTTGTTTAATATTTCTGCTACAGTCTCGTTTAGAGACGGGGTGGGGTTGTCGCCAGGTGTGAACTGCAGCACCGCGCCGTCACATCTTTGGTGGCTAGTACAGCCATCCTGCACACAAGGGAATGATAACTGGCCAGCATCATCCATGCGTTCAATGGTGGCACAATATATATGGGCGGCATTGCCTCTACGATTTGTATCAATGTCGAAGAATGACATTGCCTTAAAAGCACACCTTTGTTTGCCAATACATAACCGTAGAAGGATCTTCAATCTGTCGTGGTCCATCAATAAAGGCCCTCTCCTCCAACGAACTGAGACAGTGATGAATATGAAGATAATCAATATCACGACCACAAACATGCTTTCCCGTCTCTTTCGCCTTCCAGTATCGACGAAGCGCCAGAACGCAATGCGCAAAATGGAATTGGTTGTCCCACGGTACCGCCATGTTTAACGATCCCATCCAACTCGGTCTGATGTAGTCTCGATTATCGATTACCTGCTGCATTTCTGGATATCGGTTGCGGTACCACTGTTGGTAATGCTCTTCATCCTCGTCATAGAGCTCGGCCGGTATGATGGCTTGATCATCGATACGAACTTTCCATTTCCCAGAATCCTGAAGATTTGCTTCAGCCCATTCGGAAGCATTTTGCCAGTAAATTCGGAGCTGGTGCCTCGGACCATCACTGCCTATTGTTACATATCGATCGTATATACTGTCCGAGCGGCTGCGTATAAGTAAAAGAATAGAAGCAAAAATGACTATCGCAGCGATGATAATGGAAGCGCAGATGAAGATATATCTGCGCCATGATGGAGTCCGAGATTCTGGAATTGCAGTGGAGGATAGAGTCTTGTACTCGTGCCATGCCGGCCAATGTAAGCGTAACCGGATCCACGACCAAATATCACCAATGTGCATCGAATTGGATTTCTGACTTTCTCTAAGCGATTTGACTACAAGGCTGAGTTCCTCTTGGCCGGAAAGCAATGCTCCTTGCAGTTCAGCATCTTCAGCCTTACTCAGCAACATTAGAATCGATTTTGCGCCAGATTTATCTTCGTCCCATCCAAGCTCATCGGACTGAAGTAGCAAAACGCAAGGGGAGTTGCCGCAGCCGTCGCAGAGAAATTTTGAGGCGCGTTGTCGGGCATCCTCAAAGGATAACAATGATGGCCCAGGTGCTAGGGTAACCCATAATAACAACGTATGCGACTCATTATCTTGAGCATGAACAGTGTGGAATACAGTCCTTGTTGCAACCCCGCTCACAGCCAGATCGACTTTATCGCGGAGCACGGTTGTAAAGAGGGCTGGGCTGGGTGAGGAGGCCGTTCGAATAAATATGTCTGGACCGTCCTTCATGCTGTCGTCCATATGGAAGGCGAAAGGAATATTAAATGGACGACGACATCTACAACGAAGAAAAGAGCAAGAGGCAAGTCAATATCCAGAAAACGCGTCATTGGCTTGCTTTGGCGTTCGGCGGGCGACAAAAAACGATTGGAGCATTGTGGTTGGTAACGAGGCGGTGCTGTGCCAGGGTACGGTCAACTGGATTGGTGAGGCGGTATCGAACCTTCTTAACCCGCACCACCACCAGATGGTTGCTGACGACCAGATCTAAGCAGCTATTAAACGCATCAATTCTACGACCGCCATGGAGATCATTCAGATACTGACCCTGTTCATGATTATGACTGCCTCCTTGGGCCGGGTAACATCGTCTCCAACCGAAGATGCCTCAACAAGAGAGCGTTCTTCGGCCAGTCTCGACCACGAGCCGATCCCGGCAGAGACAGATCCTTACATCGCGCATCTCGTCGAGGTAATGAATGCGCCAGAGCCGTGGGACCATTTGTGAATCTAATCGAGGACGCCATTTTCGGTATGGATTTAGAGTCCGGCTCTTACCTGGCAAATTATTGGTGGTTAAATCGATCGACATTATATAAGAGGATTGGCCGCTCACCAATATTCTGTCAAATCCTAGATTTTGAGGCGAAACAGAAACTGCTCACAGGGAGATTAATACAAGTGCTATGGAGTTCAATAACGCGTGGTACGGTCGGAATCGCGACGGCGAGACGGGCCTAGTTGAGTCTCTTGACCAGTCGGCTCCTACACACTTCTTGCGCTTTTGCAATATGCCAGGACTTCGAATATATCGATATTTTCCAGATGGACGAAACTTTATGCATGCTCGAAGATATCTTCCCATTGAGGTAATACGTTCAAAAGCGGAAATGCCAATCATAGTGCGCAAAGTCGCTCGCCCGTTTAGAAGGAGTTGGCATGTGTTAGAGGCGTGAGAGAGCAGCACCTATGGATTATTCTGAGCTCCCTTTCATCGAGGCATGTTTACAGTAGCTGAATCCAGATTGCTGTGTTTCCAGTGGGTGCAGGTTGGGGTATTGATAACGCTGCAGTTGATGATTGTTTCAAGGAGAGTAAACAAAGTGATAGTCGTCTCGAGTTTTGTTAGCGAATTATGGACTGTTGCATTTATCCTCCTCGAATTCTGCTAGTTATAGATGATACTGCGTCATGATGGTGCTGTGGACCTACCCCAGAAAATCAAACTATCAATTTCTCACACTAATAATATAATGCGTATAGTGCACCATCCCCAAATCTACCACGGCGCTCAAAGAACCTGCCCAGAACTGTCATTTGAGTCTTGGAGGAAGACAGTGAAGATATCATCTCTGCCAACGGCGGCTTATAACAGCTAGGCCATCAGCCAAGAGGCGGGGCCATAATCCATCGGCGCTGGCTCAGGTGGGATTGCGACATTGTTAACTTCCTTTTATCTGTCAAGCCTGTCTAGTTTATAATGCCATCTACATTATAATCCCTCTAGTTCTGGCTATTAGGGTCCCGCCGACCTGTCTTATCGAGTCCGACTTGAAGGGTGTGTCACCGTACCCAGTGATCACGAATGGGCCTCTCCAGGACGGTTTCGGTTCCTTTCCTGTTAATTTATGATCGTATAGCATAACCATTTGCCCTGGCTAGAAGGTCACTTGTCGTTCGCTACGGTTGTATCTCTCCCGTATCTTGCACTTTTGCTGCCCTGATGTCCACGCGGCAAACGCTTGAAATATGTCGCATACTACGTCCGGTTTCGGGCCCCCAATGACCGTCAGTCAATATAACAGCCTCTCTCTATGCCGTTGCATGGCTAATTTTGAATTTGGCGAAAACGCAGCAGAATTGCCGTGTCCGCATGCATGACTACCGGACGGTGGGGGTCCGAGTCTCGCCGGAGCAACGATCTCTAAAGAATCTATTTCCCTTTTCGCGCACGAATTATACGAAGTTTTGGATACAGGAAGTCAATGAAAAGAAAATTAGAAGACGAGAGCCTCGTATCCCACTTAGTTTTACTAAATTGTTATGACGTCTCTAGATAGTGTACTGTGAAAAGCTCTCTTTTCATGCACGCGGAGTACGGCCAAAACGTCGCAAGCGAGGGGATGACAAGAACTCTAGAATGGCCAAGTGTGAAAGAAGAATGGGATTTTGTGTTCTGATTGAGAGTATCCGCGGTATTCGAGGATCCGCCGATCCAACTTACGTTGTCGCGAAGCTATCTGTCAACATCAACCTAGCTCCTCTTCAATAATTAACTACATCCATGTTTGTGGGATATAATGTCCATAATTGGCAATGGGGATTGAAACGCCTCACATTCGAAAGCTGCGAACCTCTCCGATAAGCCGCGACCTCCATTGGTGCAGGGTGAGAGCTGTTTTATTGGCACGTACTGTGTTTACAAAGTAAGCGATTCTACATCTTGGAAGAACTGGAAATGGCCAGGTACAGCGGCATGGGCGTTCCAGACTGCCCGGTGCTCCGCGATGATTATGACGGTTGTCGTTGCCATATCCTATGATGCATTATGATCCAGATATTCAGGATCCGCATTAGCTTCGGACATTGGCTACATATTGATTTCAATATTGATTGGATACATTGCACCGACTATACCGTACTGTCTCACCAACTTCCCCATAAAAACAAGACTTCCGAATGAGACACTCCAGACTTAGGAGCACCTATTCTTGAATACCTGGCGTATATATTGTGTCCTCCCGCACTCCTCTTCCTTCTGACCTCACACGTTCTCAGTCTTCATTATTCCCGTGTCTCCATAACTTTGAGTATCCGCAAATTCTTCAAAATGCGATCTTTCGTTGGCCTCACTCTTCTCGCCTGGTCTGTAGGACTAGTCGCTGCGGATACTACTACCGTGGTTGCTCCCGTAGCAACGTCCGGATCTTGCGCCGCCCAAGAGTATGTCTGCGAGTTGCATTTTCAATCTCGATAGCCGACACTTTGCTGATTCCATCTTACAGTGTGCTTGATGCTTGCCTCTCATTGGAAAAGCCGCAATTGGCAGCTTGCGCGACTGATGATTGGGATTGTATGTGCACACAGGCTAACAATGTGTTGACGTGAGTGAAATTCTCTTGGGCCCGCCCCGTTCTCCTTTGCGACCGAGTATAACGAAGTCCGGTCTGTGTCAACTGTCGATAATCCAATAGCTAACAGTTCAACGACAGGTGTTACAACGACTGTCCCAGCGATTCGGGAGCTTTCGGTGCTCAGCAAGTCAAGATATCATACTGCAACGCAGCTAGTGCATACGGGACTGCTGCCTCTACCGTGGCCCAGAGCACAAGTATGGCTGTCCAGTCCTCTGCCGCTCCACTGTCCACCGATCCTGCGGAGACATCTTCCTCTTCGTCTCCTCTCTCGCCCAGCCGTAGTTCTTCATTTTCAGCTGCCGCCCCCACCAGCTCCTCTGCCAAAACCGAGACAGGTGCCGCTACCGGACTGTTTGTCGAAGTAAGCAGCCTGTTGATGGGCATGGTTTTGGGCATTGGCGCTATACTATGAGGTGGCACATTGTATACTAGACCGGTTT